TGTTGGATAACATGAGGTAATTTATGGATGTTTCAGGTTGGGTCTGGATTAGCCAGCAGGTCCAGATCCTGACTCTGGTCCGCTAATCCCTGACCTCTGCTTTATGCAGTAGCCTAACAAAGCCTTGTTTTTGTTTTCAAAACATGAAACATGCAAAATATAACAGATGAACGGGGGGTCCACCTCTTTAGGGTGGGGGGTTGTCTGGCTTCCTTGTTAGCCCCCGATGCCCCATACCTGTCTAAGTAATAAAACTTTATTGATCTCACATTGGAGAAATTTACCTCTGCATCTAACCCCTCCCATTGGGGAGCAGTGGGCTGCCTTTGTGCGGCGCCCAGGGAGCAGTGTGGGGTTAAATGTCTTTGCTCAGAACCCAGAGTGGCAGTCTGTGGGAGTGGGTTTCAAACTCACAGCCTCAGGATTACAAGCTCTATGCTTTAACCACTAAGCCGCCAGTCCCAAAGTGAAAAAAAAAATGAAGTGATAGATTTAAAAAGAGGCAATTATAAATTACTTTGAATGATGTTGTTGGCTACTGAAAAAGAAAAATAACCAGAAGATGGTGAAGTGATCTGCTACCAACACTGGATGAATGGATTAATGTCATTCTGACCATTAATAACATGGAAAAGATGACTTCATAAGTTAGACTGGAAATCAACTAATTCAACAATATGGCTGAAGGATATAAGGCAACATGGAAGGGATTCTGTTTAGGGGTTTGAAAGCTGGATAGTTAATGGAGACGCTAGAATGAGGAACATTTCTAATTATTATTATCCCTCACACCACTTCAAAGCTACAGTTTTACATTTTATTTTCGGTTCGTTTTGGTTACTTTTTATGTTCTAAACCTAATGTGTTATTATTATGTGTCTTAAACTGTTGGATCTGCTGATGAAGGTTCTCAGTCATCCAGGTCATAGTCATTCCATAAAAATTCAAAAAATATCCTCTGGACTTGGTTTCCAAAGTTTGAAGACGTTTCTCCACCTCTCCAGGAAGCTTTCTCAATTCAAATGTCTGGATCCGCATTGAGTTTGAGTCTTGTCCATATAAGACTCAAACTCACTGCACCCAGTAGAGACGACGCATGGAAACGCCGGCCTCTCCTCAGAGAACCACCCAGTAGAGACGATGCTCACCTATCTGATATGGAAACGCTGGCCTCTCCTCAGAGAAGCACCCAGTAGAGACGATGCTCACCT